AAATTTCACTATAGGTCACCTCACACAGAGAATTTGTAGGTATCACGAAAATCACAGAAACCTGGCTAGGAACTTTGGTATGTAATGGAGAAATTTTTTTTTGGTCATTTTTACCTTTCTTCAATTTGGGGGAAAATTTCCTTTAAGACATAATTTTTCGTGAGTAATGCCGATAGAGAAAATATTCTCCATCAAATTTCACTAAAGGTCACCTCGCAAAAGAAATCGATAGGTATAACATATACCCTTGATATATCGCCAATAATTTTGGCTAAATTTTAAGAAACTCACTTTTTCCGCCATAGTTGATTCCCCATATTTCCCCGTGATTTTTTTTCACGTGATGCTACTTATTAATTTTTCTGGCCATTCAAATTTTGAAAAATGATTTATGGTGGTTCAAAATACCCATTAATTATTTTAATTAGTTTCATACAAAATTTAAAACAATGAAATTTCAACAAGCTTTTTTTGGTACCGAACAATGCAAATGCCAAAACATAATAAACGCTTGAGGTATTTAGGCCACAAAAAGCTTATCACGTTTGTTTTTAATTATGCCTAGTTTACAATACACTTGATATCATTACGATAATAATAAAGATGTCATCTAAATATTATTGTTTTATGGCTGTCGGACAGCATTGTTGAAATACAAAATTTTATTTTATTTTTATATGCAAAAAAATTCTAAAAATAAATATTTTTAGATTATATTTTTTTTGCCAAAATGCGTAGAATTATTTATTGAATTATTAGAAGCCATTGTAAAAACAAAAATTTCGATTTGGCGCACGACAGACCTTATAATTTGACTATAAATAAAATTAGAGTTTTTTGGATATTTTTTTGGTACATTTCATAATTGGCCCAAATCTCCCGGAAAACTTCAGTTAAGAGAACTGATGTCAAGGGGAAAATTATTCTAAATCAAATTTCACTATAAGTCTGCAAAGAAATGAAAACTGCAAATAAAAAACATAACCTTAAAAATAGAAAAAACTTTAAATATTTGTAAAAAATCGGGACAATTTTGCTTCACTTCAGTTTTTGTCCATATCTCCCATAATAGATGATTTTAGGAGAGTTCAACCAAAGTAGATAATATTCTCCACTAAATTTCACTAGAGGTCACCGAACAAAACAAATCTCTAGTTATATTAAATGACGTTTAAATTATACCAACAAATTATTAATTTTAATAAGAAACGCTTTTTTGGTCGCCTTTACATAATTTTTCATATTGGGCCAAAATGTCCCTCTAAAATTGATTTTTGGTCGGTAATGTCAATGGAAAAATTATTTTGCATAAAATTTCACTATAAGTCACCGAATAAAATAAATCTCTAGCTATAATAATTAACGTTCAAATCATCCCTACAAATTAGGTACTTTATACAGAAATGTTGTTTTTAGTCGCCTTTACGTAATCTTTTATATTGGGCCAAAATGTCCCTCTAAAATTGATTTTTGACCAGTAATGTCAATGGAAAAATTATTCTACATAAAATTTCACTATAAGTCACCAAACAAAATAAAACTCTAGCTATATTAAATAACGTTCAAATCATCCCTACAAATTAGATACTTTATAAAGAAATGTTGTTTTTGGTCGCCTTTACATGATTTCTCATATTGGGCCAAAATGTCCCTCTAAAATTGATTTTTGGTCGGTAATGTCAATGGAAACATTATTCTGCATAAAATTTCACTATAAGTCACCGAATAAAATAATTCTCTAGCTTTATTAAATAACGTTCAAATCATCCCTACAAATTAGATACTTTATAAAGAGATGTTGTTTTTGGTCGCCTTTACATCATATTGGACCAAAATGTCTCTCTAAAATAGATTTTTGGTCGGTAATGTCAATGGAAAAATTATTCCACATAAAATTTCACTATAAGTCCCTAAACAAACGTAGTCTCTAGATTTATTAAATAACGTTTAAATCATACTGATAAATTAGATACTTTAACAATAAATTATTTTTTGGTCGCCTTTACATCATTTTTCATATTGGGCCAAAATGTCCCTTTAAAATTGATTTTTGGCCGGTAATGTCAATGGAAAAATTATTCTACATAAAATTTCACTACAAGTCATCAAATAAAATAAATCTGTAGCTATATTAAATAACGTTTAAATCGTCCCCATAAATTACGTATTTTAATAAGAAATGATTTTTTAGTCGATTTTACATACTTTTTCATATTGGACCAAAATGTCCTCTTAAAACAAATTTTTGGGTACTAATGTCAATGGAAAAATTATTCCACATAAAATTTCACTATAAGTCAGCGAACAAATAAAAATTCTATATATAATAAATACCCTTGAAATCCCTCCGATAATGTGGGAAACTTAGCTGCAATTATTTATGATTCATTTTGTATAAATTTCTTCAAATTGAGCCAAAATTTCCTATTAGACTTAATTTTAAAGCCTTGATGCTAATGAAAGAAATGTTCTACGATAAATTTCACAAAAGGTCCTCTCAAGAAAGAAACCGGTATATATGATAAGTATCATTAAAAATTAATAATATATAAATGCGCAAATATACAAGAATTTTTGGGTTATTTTTTGTATTTTCATAATTGGTCGAAATCGACATAAATTGTTCGTTATAGAGGTTCGATATTAGAGAGAAAAATGTTCTCCATCAAATTTCACTATAACTCACCGAAGAAACCTAACCCCTATATCTATTATATACCTTTGAAATCGTCCCGACAAATAGGGCATTTTAACTGGAAATATTTTTGATCCAATTTGTAACTTTTTCACCCAGTTCGGGTAAATTTTCCTAGAAGACTTCGTTTTTGAGACATGATGCTAATGAAGAAAGTATTCTATGGGAAATTTTACTATGGGTCACCTCAAAAAAGAAACCGGTATATATGATAGATATTAGTAAAAATTAATAATATGCAAATACGCAAATATGCAAGAATTTTTGGGTAGTTTTTGCATTTTCCTCATAGGTCGAAATCGGCCATAATACTTCGTTATAGAGGTTCGGTATTTATGAGAAAAATTTTCTATATAAAATTTCACAATTATTCACCACAGATACGAAACCCCTATATATAATATTTACCGTTAAAATCATCCCGACAATGTAGACATTTTAAGTGGAAATATTGTTGGTCAGTTTTGTATCTTTACCAACAAATTGGGCCAAAATTTCCTTGAATTGTTAGTTTTTGGCGCTTGATGATAATGAAAGAAATGTTATACGGAAAATTTCACTATAGGTCACCTCAAAATTGAAATCGGTATAAACGATAGATATCATAAAAAATAATAATACGTAAACACGTAAATATGCAAGAATTTTTGGGTTATTTTTGTGTATTTCATAATTGGTCGAAATCGTATATTATACTTCGTTGCAGAGGTTTGGTATCAATGGATAAAATATTCTACACAAAATTTCCAATAAAATCGAAAGGGTTTCAGAGGCCAACTATCCTCCAGAAGAGCAAGAACATTGATTAGATTTATGAGCAAAAACTATATATATGATTTTTTTGGATATTTTTGTATCTTTCATAATTGGTTGAAATCGTCAATAATACTTCGCTGTAGAGGTTTAGTAGTAATGAGTAAAATATTCTACATAAAATTCCACTATGTGTTGCCGAACAAAAGAAATCAATAGATCTAATATATATACCTAAAATATCTGCGGCAATTTTAATACATAAAATGCATTATTTTTGGTCTAATTTGAGTATATTCGGAATTGTTCGAAATCTATCGGAATTCTTGCTTCTAGGGTTTTGGTATCAATGGAGAAAATATTCTACATCAAATTTCACTATGGGTCACCGAAGAATAGAAATCGATAGCTGTTACGAATATCCCTTAAAAATGCGATGCAATTTGAAAACCCCCCAGAAAATAGACATTTCTTGGTAAAATTTGAGTATTTTCAGATTTGGTCCAAATCTACCGGAATACTTTATTTTAGGCAAGTGATGTTAATGGAAAATATGTTCCTTATAAAATTTCACTATGGGTCGCCGAAGAAACGGAATCGATAGATGTAATATATATACCTAAAATATCTGCGGCAATTTTAATACATAAAATGCATTATTTTTTGTCTAATTTGAGTATATTCGGAATTGGTCAAAATCTATCGGAATACTTGCTTCTAGGGCTTTGGTATCAATGGAAAAAATGTTCTACATCAAATTCCACTATGGGTCACCGAAGAATAGAAATCGATAGATGTTACGTATATCCCTTAAAAATGTGATGCAATTTGAATACACCACAAAAAATAGCCATTTCTTGGTATAATTTGAGTATTTTCAGATTTGGCCCAAATCTCCCGGAATACATTCTTTTAGGCAAGTGATGTTAATGGAAAATTTGTTCTCTATAAAATTTCACTATAGGTCACCGAACAAAAGTATTCTCTAGATCTAATATATACCCCTGAAAATTAGTAAAATTTAAAGAAACATATTTTTAGGGCATTTTTTTACTTCAAATGGAAATTGGCCGAAATCACCCTGAATAATTTCTTTTAGGTTTATGGTACCAATTAAAAAAATATTCTTTATAAAAATTCATAATAAAATCGAAAGTGTTTCAAAGACTCCCATACTCCAGTAAAGCAAGAACTTCCATTAATCTGATGCGCAAAAAGAGTTCTTTAATCGAATCAAACTTTATGCTATCTAAACACTCTATGTCTATTGAAAATTTACAATTTTTTGAAAACATTTTTTTTTGCACGTCTACAAAATTTTTTTATTGAATGATAAGGAACACAATAAAAAATATTTCTAAATTAAAAAAAAAATACTAACACTTCATCTTATCTTTGCAGAATAGGTGACAACATTTTTGGAAGGAAATTAGATTGATATCAGCAGCGTCAGCTCTACCGCACTCACCCTATCTGGTTCGGAATAATAACAATAAATCGAAACAACGAAATTGACCTCCTCCCCAGATCACCATGGTCCAGGAATGTAAACGTGTTAGCGGGGTGAATAGCACCAGCAGTACCCTCGAACTACCCATGGACAGTTACAGTCAAAATTCACATGCCGATTTAAAGCCACGCAAACCACGTGTCTACAAATCGAAAGTATTCGTTATTGCTGTGTCATTTTCATCTATTCTCCTAGTGGTTATGATCGCTGCTTTTGCGGTCCATTATACTGTGGGATTTCCATCGTCGAAAACAGCCGATGTAGGTGAAAAAGATGCTCTGACAATGGCTCTGCCCGAAGAACAACGTCTGTGGGTTGAGGAAGGTATTACGGAGCTGAAAAAAGCTGTCGATCGTGTTGATAATAAACGGAGAGCCCGTAATGTTATTCTCTTTGTGGGTGATGGCATGGGTCCGAATACCGTGACGGCTGCCAGAATAATGGGATTCAAGGAGGAGGGTTTGATGGCATGGGAAAAATTCCCCGATATGGGCCTATTGAAGGTAAGTTGGGAGGTAATATAAGGCGAAACATAATGAATGCGCAGAAAAATAACGAGAATAACATTTTGAAGCCAAGCCTCAAAGCAAATAACTCATTGTGTTTCGGCATTTTTAGCCCCGCATTTTAATCTCTGATTCATTATTTGGCATTCCACATGGCTTCTGGCAAAAAACAATAATTTTTATTAAAGAAAAGCCTAGCTAAAGGCTAACGTAGCTTTAAGCCGAAGTTTGCATTGTGTTTGGAGGGATTTTCTACATGAGATTTACTGTTTGATTTCGGTTTTATCTTTTTGTCTTGTCTAAAACATAACATAATTGCTAGGACTTTAATTAAAGAAAAATATGCACAAAGCTTAAAGACAAAGAGTTCATTGTGTTTCGTCTGGTTTCTTCTCGTATTTTACTCTCTGATTCTTTATTGTGGGCATTTCACATGGCTTCTGATAAAAATCAAGAATTTTTATTAATGAAAAGCCTACCTAAAGGCCAACAAAGCCTCAAAACGAAGACTTCATTGTGTTTGAAAGATTTTCCTCATGAGTTTTACTCCTTGATTCGAGTTATGATATTTCCTTCCTATTTTGGCTTAAACAAAACATAACTGCTAGACCTTTAATTAAATAAAAGGATCCACAAAGCCTCAAAACAAAGAGTTCATTGTGTTTGGACCTTTTTCTTTACGTGTATTACTCTCTGGGCTTTTCTTTAACATTTCTTATGACTTATGGCAAAAAATTGACAATTTTTATTAACGAAAAGCCTGACTAAAGGCCAACAAAGCCTCACACCAAAGATTTCATTGTGTTTTGGCTTTTTCTTCGTGCATTTTCCCTTTGTGATTCTTTATTTTAATTTTTTGATGTAAACGAAACATTCTTCCCATCTATTCTCTTAAAAAAATCATTTACGGAACCAAGCCGTAAAGCAAAGTGTTCAATATGTTTCGGCGTTTTTTGTTGCATTTTACAATCGTATTTTTCTTTTAACGTTTTTTAGAGGAATTTTAGAACTTAAGACAAAAAATTCAGATTACAAATCTTGTCTTAAAGATCGGTTGAAGCCTCATGGGGAAGTCTTTATTGTGTTTGGGCTTATTTTTGCGCTTTCTGATCCTTATTTTAATATTTTTCGCTTTGCAAAACCGAACTTTCTCCCTATCAATTATATTACAAAACATTGACGAAGCCAAGTCTTAAAGTAAAGAGTTCATTGTGTTTATGCTTTTTTCGTTCTTTTTACACTTCGGAAGGAATTTTGGGCATCAACGCAATGAATTTTTTATGTTTATAGCCCTGAGCTACAAAGAAAATCCTGTCTAAAGAGCGTTTAAGGCCCGTAACGAAGATTTCATTGTGTTTGCATGTTTTTCTTCACGTCTTTTACTTTCTGAATCTTCTTTCAAAATAATTTGATGTTTTTTGCAAAAAGGAAACGTTTTTCCGTAAAGCCTTTAAGCAAAGAGTTCATTGTGTTTTGGCCTTTTTTAGCGGAATTTCGGTTTCCAAGGCAAACAATACTTTATGTTTGTAGCCTCGACACTTTTAAAAAGAAACTTTTTTCCTTAAAGCCTTAGAAAAAGTTTTCATTGTGTTTTGGCTTTTAAGTGGGAATTTGGGTCTCAAAGCTAAGAATTCATTATGTTTCAACCCTCGAGACCTTAAAAACTAATTTTTCATGTATTTCTCTCTCCCTCCCCCTCTTTTCAGACCTATTGTGCCAATAAGCAAGTACCAGATTCCTTCTCCACAGCCACCGCCCTTTTCACCGGAGTTAAAGTAAATTATGAAACCGGTGGTGTTGATTCCTCCGTACCGTTGGGAAATTGTTCTGCCTCCCTAAACCCCGATCGCCATGTCCATTCCATATTGAAATTGGCACAAGAAGATGGCAAATTGACCGGCTTTGTTACCAATACCCGTGTAACCCATGCCACCCCAGCTGCCCTGTATGCCCATACCCCAGATCGCCGCTGGGAATGTGAACAGAAAATGCCTGCCACAGCTACGGAGGAAGGTTGCCGAGACATTGCCCGCCAACTGATCGAAGAACCCACAGGTCAAAAAATCAATGTCATTATGGGTGGCGGGCGACAAATGTTAGTATCCGATGTTACCGATTCCGAAGCGGATCCCATTGATACGTGGTCGTGTAAATCTGCCGATGGTCGTAATTTAATTAAGAAATGGTCCGACATTAAGGCCTCGGAAAATGAGGCCCATGTTGTGGTACAAAACACTGGAGAACTGGAAGCCATTAATGCCGAGGAAACAGATTATGTTTTGGGTATCTTTGCCAATGGTCATTTGAAATATGAACATGAGAGGGATACCTCACCCCAAGGCATGCCATCGTTGAAACAAATGACCCTTAAAGCTCTAGAAGTTTTAAGATCGAAAGATCAAGGATTCCTTTTAGTGGTCGAGGGTGGTATGATTGATCAGGCCCATCATCGTGGCACGGCACGCAAGGCACTCAATGAAGTTTTGGCATTTAATGATGCCATAAATGCTACCATTAATGCCTTGGGTTCAGATTTGCAGGATACATTGGTTATTGTAACAGCAGATCATTCTCACACCCTGGCGATTAATGGTTATGCCGCAAAGGGTTCGAATATTTTGGGGATAGCTGGAACATCGAAAACTGAAGGAACCCCTTATACGATTTTGTCATATGGCACAACATATGAAGGTTTTCAGGCGGATGCAAATGGTCGCAGAAAGGATCCATCGTTGCAGGATACCACCGATTGGGAATACACGCAGCAAGGTGTTGTAAATACCGATGAAAATTATCATGGTGGTAGTGATGTGACAATTCATGCAACGGGTGAGTTTATGGTTAAATATTTTTTATCAGTGGCTTAGGTGGGGTACACACTACCAATTGGGGCTTTCAATTTTTCCAATAGCCTTAAATGTTTTTGTGAATGCCTAACGAATGACCGACCAAACCAATCAAACTTGATAGTATGTACCCTGCTTTATGTACTACCAAAAATTTCCATCTCTGAATGATGGACTTGAACGTTCAAATGACTAAGCTACACCACTTTACGTACAGTCAAATTTCTCATAGACAGTCAAATAAACCCCAAATTTCCCATAGACTGTCAATCATAACCGGTAGTGTGTACACCACTTTACGTATTGTCAAATGTTCCATCCCTAAATGTGAGTACACACTATCAGTTTGGAGTTTTTTTTTTAACGATTACTGATTTACCAACAGCAATAAATATTTACTTGGCGTTTACATAATCAAAAAGGCAAAATTAGCTCCCAACTGTAAATCAAATCTAATAGTGTGTACCACACTTAAACGATCTGACAACCTTTAATTATTATTTAATACTTATGTTATTCTTTCCGTTTTATTTTCCAGGTGCCATGTCATATCTATTCCACGGCGTGCATGAACAATCCTATGTGGCCCATGCCATAACATATGCCCTGCGTATTGGTCGTTTCCGTGACAGTTCGATTGCCGAAAGTTTGGCGGATTTATTGCCTTTGTAAGGCTTTTAAAATATCTGAAATCTAATAAATGAATTAATTTTGCATCTACGAATTAATGGGACCCACATCTTGAATACAATCGCCAAAATTATCACTCCGATCCCTCCCACCTTTAGTTTTAATTTAATTTTTAAGTAGTGTCAATGTATATGTAAGACACAGAGTTGCAATAGATTTGTGATATATGAACGCTCAAATGTTTATAATCAATATAAACAGATATAGATTTAAGTTTGACAAAAAAATAAACAGATTTTTTTAAATAGTTACGAAAAAAGTTTTTTCCTTGAATAAAAATAGCAATAGAGAGATTGATAACAAAATGTTAAGGGATTTAATACGATAAAGCAGTTAGTCACATTTCGTAACTAGTGACCCCTACATTTAACAAATGGAGTATGTTCAGTGTTTTAACTTGAATTTATGCACATTTCTTACAAAAAAAGAAATATAGAAATGTAACGATAAAGTAGTTAGTCACATTCAGTAACTAGTGGTCCCTTTTTTACCAGATGGAGCATGTTTAGTAATTTAAATTTACTTTAACCTAATTTCTTACAAAAAATATAAAAACTATAACAATTAAATGGTTAGTCACATTTAGTAACTAGTGGTCCTTACATTTAACAGATGGGGTATGTTCAGTGGTTTAAATATAATTTATCTACATTTCCTATAAAAAAATATAACCATAAAGTAATTAGTCACATTTCCTAACCAGTGATCCCTACCTTTAAATGATGGAGTATGTTCAGTGTACTAACTTAAATCTATTTACATTTCCTACAAAATAAATATTAGAAAATATTTATAAAGATAAAGTAGTAATTTTTATTAACTAGTGATCCCTGCATTTAACAGATGGGACATGTTCAGTGATTTAACATTAATTTCGCCACGTTTCTTACAAAAAATATAACAATAAAGTAATTAGTCACCTTTAATAACTTATGATCCCTACATTTAAATTATGGGGTATGTTCAGCGTTTTAAGTGTAATTAATACACATTTCTTATAAAAACATAAAAATAAATACTAGAAAATATTCATATCTTGTTTAGACAACTTTTAAAAAATGGGGTATGTTCAGTGTTTTAACTTTATGTTAACCTCATTTCTTATAAAAAAATCGATTTATTTGCATTAAGTCAATTATATAACGATAAAGTATGGGGTATGTTCAGTGTTATAAGTTTAATAAATACACATTTCTTATAAAACAAATAGAAATAAATACTAGAAAATATGCATAGGTGTTTAGACACAACTTTTAAATAATGGTGTATGTTCAGTGTTTTACCTCAAATTTAACGCCCATTTCTTATACAAAATTTGATTTATTTGCATAATGTGAATTGTAATAATTCAATTATTTTATTACTCACATCTGGATGACGGAATAATCATTAAAAAATTGATTTTCTTTAACTACATTTGTGTTATTGTATGTGTTCAGTGTTTTAAATTGAATTTAACATTAATATCTTATAAAAAATTAATTTATTTGCAAAATATCAATTGCTACAATTCAATTATTTTATTACTCACATCTAGATCACAGAATAATCATTAAAAATTGCATTTTCGTTAACATTTTTGTTATGGGGTATGTTTAATGGTTTTCCTTTATTTATCTATTCTTTTGGCACAAAATATTAATTAATTTCCGTACAATTGTTTGATTTATTTGCATAATCTCACTTGTAATAATTCATTTATTTTATTATTCACCTCTAGATGACGGCATAATCATTAAAAAGTTGATTTCCTTTATTCACATTTGTGTTGTTGTATATGTTCAGTATTTTACCTTTAATTTATCCCAATTTCTTAGAAAAAATTGATTTATTTGCCCAATATTAATTGCCACAATGCAATTATTTTATTCCACACATCTAGATAGCTGAATTACCTTAAAAAAATGCAGTTGTTTTATAAATATTTATATCAATGGGTATGTTCAGTGAGTTTACTTTATTTTCTATGTTATTTTTGGTACAAAACATAAATTAATTTGCTTGTAATTAACTGCAATAATTCCTGTGATCCATAGTTCACATCTAAGATGCAAATTAAGCATTAAAGCAATGTATTTTCTTAATCTATATATTAGTTATGGGGTGTGTTCAGTGGTCTTATTTTCAGTCATGATACAATAATAAGGTGATGTATCAAAACAAAAACTTTTGTTTTTGTCTCGACCATCTGTCAAATTTTTCCTTAAAATATTGGCAACATTGCACATCGAATTCAAATAGAAATTACACACTTTGACAGTTAATCAAAACATCAGCTGCTCTAAATAGGCTACCTATTCATTGTTCCATGCTTTCAGTTATAGCTTATATTTACTAAAAAAGATTAAAATTGCCCAAAATGGATTGTAATAATTAATGTATTATATAGCCAACATGTCGTAATTAAATAAATGCTGTACATAATTCATTTTATTCATGTGAATATCATTCATGGGGTATGTTCAGTTGTTGTTCATTCATTTGTATTTTAGTTTTTGAAACAAATTATCAGTTAATTTTCCACAAAATTGGTTTTTATAATTCATTTATTATATAGCTAACACCCACGTACACTGTTCTTGCCTCGAAAATAAGAATTACTTTCAGTTATCTTCATATTTTTGTCATGGGGTATGTTCAGTGGTTTTACTTTAATTTAATCGTAATTTTTAGTATAAATTATCATTTAATTTGCTCATAATTTTTTTGGAGATATTCAATGGAACTTTAGCTTACATATAGGGTACAAAAAAGTACACATTAAAACCATTTTTAATTTAGTTAGTCATGGGGTATGTTCAATGGTTTTACTATCATTTATATCTAGGGATTTTCTAGAAAAAGGACATATAAATTTATGTATTTCTTCTAGAGCTCATTGTTAGCAGTCACATAAACATAGAAAATAATGTTATATTTATATAAATTTTAGTCATGGTGTATGTTCAGTAGTCCTATCTTTATTTAAATCTCTTTTTTATTAAAATATTAATTTATTTTACTCAAAATCAATTGCTATAAATAATTCTGAACTATATTTTGCACCTCCCCACTCTGTTTTTACCTCGGAAAAAAGAATTAATTTTATTTAGTTTAGTATTTTTGATATGGGGTATGTTCAGTGAGGTTTATTTTCTTTGCATATGCTCACAGTTAGATGATTCAGTATTTTTGCGGTTTAAATATGCGGTTTAAAATATTTTATTTTATTGATCTGCCTCTTGAGGTATGTTCAGTGATTTTACTTTCATTTAGATCGTATTTTATTATACATATCTTGGCGATTAAATACGCGTTCAAATAGTTCATTTTATTTAGCTACCACCTTAACATGAGGTATGTTCAGTTCAACTTTTATTTAGAACGTATTTTTGTGCAATTTCCATCGAAATTTTACATTTTCTGAATGGTTTGTTTTTATTTCCAACAAAAGAAAAAAAAATGAAAAATACGTTCTGTTGAAATTGTTCAACTTGAAATTTTGTACGTTCGACGTATTTCGGTAACATTCATATAAATACATGTGTTCTACTTTTGTGGTGAAAAACGTCGAACGAGCTTGTTGAATTTTAGGTAAGACAAAGTACACATTATGGGTATGTTCAGCATTATGGGTATGTTTAGTGTTTAGCTGCCTCCTAATCATGTGGTATGTTCAGTTTTACTTTTTTTAGAACGTATTTTTGTACATACATAAATTTTAAATTTTTTGGCTCATAATAAAGTGCAACAATTCTGTAGTTCTATTGCTCATATCTAGGGGACAAAGTACACATTTTGGGTATGTTCAGTGTTTAAAATAACATTTAGACGATATTTTTGCACAAATTAGCATTTAATCTACTCACAATTTTTTTGTAAGAACTAAATAATATTTTTGATAACCTGACACAATCAAAACTCATTAAATAAGGTGACCAAGCGTCCTATTTTTAGAGGACAATCATCCATTTTAACGAGCTGTTATATATAACATTTATGTCATATACATGTCATCTATTTCTATAATCTGTCATCCTTGCCATCTATATTTTATAAACCTTTTCTTTTTCTAAATTAAAACCAATTAAATTAAAACGGCATGTACACTGCAACTTTTTCACCGGGTTAACCTGCTTTATGAGGATTTATTTGACATATATGCAAAGGAATTGACAATTGAAACCCACTGGGTTAACGAAATCCGGTTAAATGTAAACGTACTATAAAACCATATATTTTATTTCTGTTACATGTTATGAGGTGTGTTCAGTCTCTAAAGATTATGATGATCAATTATTTTCGTGCTTAATTTGATTTAATTCGATTGGCTGCTATCAATTTCCCTTAGCAAAGCTTGTAGTTGTCATCACTTCAGTTATGAATGACACTAAAACATATTGCAGTGGCGCCAAATACAAATAAATATTTAATCAATATATTTATGTTAATAAAAAAAGTGTAATAATAATAATACAATAATAATAATAAATACAAATAAATAACAATTTCAGCAAATATATGTAACTATTTTTTTATTAATAGAAAGCTATCATCTCACACTGAATATCACTTACTTTCCTTCAGGTGTCCGTTAGAAAGAAGAAGCACCGCAACTGATTTTCTCTCTCTCCGCTCTGCTTTGAATTATGGGTTGGAAAATAGTAGTTTTAATTTATTTTCATGAAAATATATATATATGTGGGTTTATAAAATAATTTATTTATAAAACAGTAATAAAATAACTATTAAAACAAATAAATGTTTATAATAGGTTGGCATTAAATGAAAAGTATTATTTCACACTGAATGTCACTTACATGCCTTTATGTGGCCGTTAGAAAGAAGAAGCACGGCAATTGATTTTCTCGCTCTCTCTCTGCTTTGAATTATATGAGATAAAACTGTTATTTAATTTATTCTCATGAACATTTTATATACAACAGCTTGTAAAATTATTTATTTATAAAATTTGTATATAATTTCTAATTATAATTTAAAAAACAATAACAAAAATAT